TAATTTATAATCAGTCACAAGAACGTCGAATCTGAATCACTTGAAAAAAACACGGGGGTGCTTAACTTTTTTCCAGGTTCTTACGAGTCATTTAGCTGACAACAAATGAAACTTTCCGTATTTTGGACGAAGTTAGTTTAACTAAGGATTTTAACACTGTAAGAGAAACAATTTACTGTGCTTAAAGTAATAAAAATGCATTGCAAGGGCTTTTATAGAGATAATTTGTTAATGTTTGTTCATGGTAATAACTCAGTGCAAGCGTTTAATGTAAAACCAAAACTTGATTCTAAATGTCAAGGCCAACTGTCAGTTTTACCGGGAAAATTTTATATTGTATTATCTTCTCTTTAATATGCTAGTGATATCCAGACTACAAAACTGTCACAACAGCCTTTAGCTATACTTTCGAGAGAATCTTAACTTAAAGGCTAATGGGTTCAAAAGTGATTTACTGATTTTCGAGTTCACCTGATATCTATGTAAATGGTTAAAAACGCTTACAATTTTTGTTCAGTGATATAGAGTCTCAAGTAAGAATTTTTAATGATTCATCCACAGTCTCTGTCTTGGAACATTTCGTTCAGTCATGTGGAGTACCAAGCAAACATTTTAAATAATTCATCCACAGTAACTGTCTTGGAACATTTAGTTCGGTCATGTGGAATACCAAGCAAAAATTTTAAATAATTCATCCACAGTAACTGTCTTGGGACATTTAGTTCGGTCATGTGGAGTACCAAGCAAGAATTTTAAATAATTCTTCCACAGTATCTGTCTTGGGACATTTAGTTCAGTCATGTGGAGTACCAAGCAAGAATTTTTAATAATTCTTCCACAGTATCTGTCTTGGGACATTTAGTTCGGTCATGTGGAGTACCAAGCAAGAATTTTTAAATACTTTTTCTACAGTATCTGTCTCAGAACATTTGGTTCGGTCAAATGGTTTCCTTAGTAAGACTTAAGAATAATTATTACTTCTACAGTAACTACCTCGTTACATTTGGTTCAGTGACGTAGAGCCTAGAGTAAGAATTTTTAATAACTTTTTCAAAATGCCTGTCTTGAAGTTTAAAAAAATTACATTAGTAACGTGGGGTTTAATGATATTCTTTCAACATTTTTCTCAAAAAAGTATCCGCTTCGTAATGTGGCACTTAACTGTACAGTCTCCATAGAGAACGTTGTGACTTTCTTTTTTTAAGGGCTATGTTGGAAACTTATAAGTCAGTTATATCGTCAAAAATCTTTATTAAAAAACTCAGGATGTTGGGCTTTTACTTTAGGTTTCCAAATGTAATATTTCAAAACGTTTACTTGCAACCATATAAAATAATTCGGTTTATTTTTTTCGTTTTTCTTAAGGAAAATAAAAGGCAGGCGTATGATATTCCAAAATTTTCGTATGTATGGGATTCAATATCAAATGAAATACCAAAAATGATATGAATAAATTCAATTACTTCTCTTCCAAGAGTATATTATATATATGTATGTCTCTATATTACACACACGCACACACACGTTCCTCCAAACGCTGCATATCTCCTGTCGCGTTGAAAGGTGATAATAAACAAAGAGTAGGATCAATAGAAAAGCACATTCGCCAGGAAAGGATCTGCTTTTCATTAATTTTACCAGATCCACTTTGTTTTTTGTTGTTGTTTTTTAGATCGTAGTTAAATGCATCATACAAGGGGAGAGGCAGGAGGTAGATTAACACATTACTTTCAGCATTGAGTTCACAACTCCGTATAACTTTTTATGTCACACGCATACCATAAGTATACCTTCAAATCATGAGTTGGTAACCTGCCTTAATACCTACACATTGACGCATGTGCAACTGGTTAATTGTTGCATTTATATAGTTAAAAAATAAAACAACAACAACAAAACTATTACTCGCATACAACTGATAAACTAAATATATTACAGTCTGTTCTCAAAATAAACGAAGAGATCACCATCAAACTCTATACTGTAGAAAATATATTCGAACAATGTAACCAACTATAGGTTCAGAAACACAATATATACCTTTATAAGTTACAAAGGTCGTAAACTTTTTATTGGTATACCACAATCTTCATTATTTCAATACAGTAAAACACAATTCTAGAGAAGGAAAAAAAAAGCAATAAAAGGTAAATAATTATGAAAATAATGACATTTTCAAACGAAAAAAAAAACGTTTTCTGTCTGATAATAATTATCAATTTAGTATATCCAGATTTTACTAGCTATAATTTTCAAATAAACGCACAAGATCTTTCGCAAACGTAAATTTAAAAACGCTAAGAAAATTACTATGGAACTGGGGGAAAACCTACACAAACAGTGAACCTCCAATCTCATTAATGTAACAGAAAAAAAATAATAATAAAGTAAACTCTGAATCTTCTATGAAGTTCAACAAGCCACAACTTAAGAACAACAGAACCGTAGACAAGTTTATTTCAAACTGAGCAAGTTATGTTGTCTGGAGTTTATATAAAGGCATTTATTTAAATTAACATTTGCTTAATACAATGACAGTTAGGAAAAGAAGATAATGCCCGGATACAAAGTTTTCCTGACTCAAGTGCTTAATATGCCAGACACTGTAAGGTTAAGAAGAAAAAAAACCTTGCTAAATTAAGCGATTTTAAGTGTATTCTGATATTAGGCAAAGCTACATAAGAAGGCATATGCACTAACCACTCCAACTACGAACTAAAGACAGATTCAATAGATCCAACTCTTGGGATACTCTTATCCAATTGTGGATTTTACCGTAACTATTATAATGCAGCCAAGACTCCCAAGTCTATATCTTAGACAACATGACGCAAACAATGGACACTCAAAGCCACAGTCCGACACACTAATCACCAGGCCAAGACGGCCCAACATTAAGTGTACCGATCTCAAAGGCAATGGGGGCATTTTGTAACTCCACACGTATGCAAAGGTTGAATTTTGTGTAGACGCAGACACCAATTTCCATTGAGAATTGTTTAACTCTGTTTCTATGTTGGTATGGGTCGTGACTTACGTCTACAGAAATATTGTTGAGGATGAAAACGTTGTGGTTTTCGAAGCAGAGAAGGCGATATATCAATAAACATCGGTGGAATATTGTACAAATGTGACGATGCTAACAATTTCACATATACTGTATTTAAAAGTATAATCAATGAAAGGAGAAACAATTGGTGCAGCTGCGCATACATGCGTCAGTGCTATGTCGTATGCGCGGATTCGCCCTGTAGTACAGCTCTGGATTTGGGAACTGGCGAGCTGGTTTCGAATTCGCGCGATATTACTAAATATTCTTCGCAGTTTAAGCTGTGGATGCGTTATAAGAGTAGGAGCCAGTCCTTTGGCATGGATGGAAGGTGGTAAGGTGCTGCTGATTAGATGCTCTTCGGAACTCTAGTCAGTAGTTCAAAATTAAGGAAGGCGGTAGATAGCATTAGTATCTTTGCCAAACAAAAATACACATACAGTTATGTCGCAAAAATTCAAACTGATCACGTTCATCAACAAGTAACACGCGATACAAGCGTTAATGATTCACATATTTTTAACGAGATATATTAGGTCGTCAAGAGATTAATGTCGCGTTTTGGAACACTTTCATTAATCCTCCCAAAAAAAATCACGTATAATAGTTAAACGAACCGCCTAAGCCTCACGTTAGTGTAGCCTATATAATGTGTAAAGTTTAGTATACTCTAATCCCTTATAATGATAAATACAAGAAGGGCAATAACGCATCTGGAGCCACAAAGAATATCAAAGAAGTTTATGGAAATGTTTTTAACGTTCGTAAGTGTCAACGATGGTTCAGCAAATTTCGTTCAGGTGACTTTAGCTTTAAAAACTATGATGACAGGGGCCGACATTTTGGAATTGATATTGATGCTCTGAAGACGCTTGTTGAGTCTAACCCAAGGCAACACACTCGTGAAATGGTCCTGAAATTGTATGGCTCTCATGAAACAATACCTATACATCTAAGGAATATGGGAAAAATCCATAAAGAAGGTGTTTTGGTGCCTAACGAACTCTCCGATGATCATCGTTTCCAACGTGTGAACGTTGCTTCGTTACTTCTGGCGCGTAATGCACGTGAACCATTTTGGGCAGAATTGTCACCGGTGATGAAAAATGGATTCTCTCTGCGGATAGTAAACGCCAAAAACAATGGCTCAGTCCTAGACAAAAACCACTTCCGACCCCAAAACCTGGACTC